GTGAACAAACATTTTGTCCAAAAAATTTTCGACCACCCGTTAGATTAAAATCGTTCTCGTTCATTTTTCTGAATTTCATCGAATTCATCAAAAATCTTAAACAAAAACTTTTTAACGATATTTTATAATGAAACATTTTTTTTTTATAATTAAGACCCAATTTATGATTCATAACAAATATATTCCATTGAATTTGTTTTATCTATTTCAATAGATAATCAAGAGTGGATGTTCGTGTATCTGGGTGTGGGTATGGAACTTCTATTCCACTATGTTCACCTACACCCTCCCGGTCTTTGATTCCGGTTTCATTTAAAACTTTTTATTGTTTTTGATCCTGTTTTTGTTTCTAAAAAAAACGACTTTTCTAATAATCTGTATGATTCTTTGAATACATATAAAATGAATATTGATGGTTTTGAGAAATTAACAGTAGGACAATACCTTTATATGCATGCATCAAAACTAAAGAAATATAATACCACTTTTTTTGTCTGCTTCAAAACTATCCTTCGTGCTGGCCATGTGACTTAGAAAATCCTTTCAGAGCTCACAGTTCTTGCACAGATACAAAATTTAAATGAGTGAGCTTTAATCGACGTTCATTCAAGAGTCTCTTTGATAATAACAAAATTTAGACTCTACAGAACTACAAGTATTATTGTTAGTGAGGACCTCCAAGGTGATTCCCATTCCGGATCGAAAATAGTGATTTTGTAGATCCATAATTTTATCTCAATCATAAATAAAAAGGGTCTATTTGTAGACTATTAGTCAGAACAGAATAATAAATATGAAAATATGCAGTCTAGTTCTGGAACAGCAAATATTACGGGACCAGTTTTAGCAAGTTTTAAGTCCTGATTACTCTTCCGACGAGACCGGGACCAATTTGAAAACCCCTAGTAGAGACTGATACCCACACCTACACCCACTCCGACATCCACATTTACACCCATACATTCCTTAACAAATAGAGAAACAAAGAAAAGCAACATGGTCGAAATAGAGTTCAGTAGTGTAGTGAATAATACGCTTAAATTTTGTTAAAGAAGTTGCCAGACAACCAATCGAAATCAATGAAAATTTTGCAACTCTTGATATGTGTAATCTCTTCATCAACATTTCAGAGAACAAAGCTGAAGACGTTACAATAAATGGTGAAGACCAATTGTGTTTAGTTGAATAACAATTTTTATTAAAAAAAGAATGGAGTACCAATGAGTGACTCTTTAAGTCCCTTTATTGCAGATATATTGGCGTGGTTCGCCGACCTGAAGTCCCAGTTTACTTTTAAGTATAAGAAGTGGAGTTCTATTCACTTGTCTTGCTCAAATCGGAACCACAGTTTCACGCTGCTCAGTGGATCGAACATTACCGAAGATTTCGTAGTACAATATATGGTTACAACCAAAAGTGAACTGGGGTGCTTGAGCCGCCCGAATGTCCAGTCAGGACGTATATATATTATCACTCTCATATTCACGCATCCACAACTACATCCATGTTTATCTACCGCCATACTCATGCAGCAAACCAACATCCACACACCGCATATGATTCGGATGAATGTTAGCCCGAAAAAACTGGTTAACTCAATTCTCAACATGAAAGCGCTTATTAGTCGAAAACTATGCAGGTATGACACACTGATGAATTACTAATATGAAACCTATAATTTCCAATAGCTACTCAAGATGCTCGTCAATGTGTTCTGCGTCAATAAATGATTGTTCACCATGGAAAGTGCAAAAAAAAAATGAGAAAATCGTTCGAAATCTTATAGTACAACATGGAGAATCATTTCCATCAGGTCTCTAGTCATTTCCAGAGACGCCAATCAAACATCAACCGATGCATAAAAAATCTTCGAAAGAAATTCATTGTAAATTGTAAATCTATGTATAACAACTTTCACCTATTCTTTTTTCAGAACATCAGATATCCATCAATTGACACGGAGTTTCCATGTATATCAACTGTGAGCACTATTCTAGCGAATGAAGATGTGATTGTCTCTCAGCAAACTTGAATTCTATTGGTGTTCGTAGTAACATCACATCGATGCAACGTTTGAGAGTTAGTGCCTTATCATTAGTGTTTGCATTTGATTAGATAGCAATTGTGGCAATAATGGTTTGACACACGTGTTATTCTTATTAAATTGTATCAGGTGAAAAATATAGGGTTATCTTTCTGCTGTTAAAAGCTATAAGATTTCTTGTTAAGCATACATACTGTTCTGCTCACCATCTGAACCTCTTCTAGCTTTATTTTAATCAGTCTAGAACTCTTACTGATTTTAGTTTTATCTTTGGGAAATGTGATGATCTATGTATTGATATTACAATAGTAGTATAATGTTTGATTTAGATGACATAAACGAATGATGCAATATCAAAAGATTGGACATACTGATATTGAAATATCTCGCATAATTCTTGGCTGTGGAAATTTCGGCGGTATTGGTTCTGCTCCAGCATTCTTTAATCAAGGAGAAAATGAAGAGCAAGCATATGAAATTCTTGATGCTGCCGTTCGTCTTGGTATAACAACATTTGATACAGCTGATGCTTATGGAGGTGGAAGAAGTGAATTATATATAGGAAATTGGTTGAAAAAATGTGACGAAAACGTTAGAAGTAATATAGTATTAAGTTCAAAAACATATAATCCAATGTTTATTGGCGATAGTAAAGGATTATCAAAAGAAAGAATATCAGAGAAAATTGAGGGTACATTGAAACGTCTTGGAATAAAGCAATTGGATATGTATCTTTCACATGAAATGGATGAAGAAACCCCACTGGAAGAAACACTTAATTGTTTTAATGAATTACAAAAAAATGGAAAAATACGTGCATATGGTGCATCAAATATCACTTGTGAACAATTAGAAAAAAGCATATCTATTTGTGATAACCTTGGTTTAAATAAATATGAATGGGTACAAAATTCTATGTCATTATTAAATTATCGAGAAGCAGAAAACATGTTACAAATGTGCTCTAAATATGGTCTAGGCTTTACTCCTTATAGTCCATTAGCTGGCGGATGGTTAACAGGAAAATATCAAAAACAATTCAATTATGAACCTGGTTCTCGAATGGCACTACGACCTGAACCATATGAAATATATGTTCAACATCAAGAAAGTATATGTGATGGATTGAGTTTAATGAGAAAAATCAGTAAGGAACGATTTGGTAATATAAGTATTGCTGGTTTAAGTTTAGCTTGGTTACTTGGTGACTCTCGAATAACAGGAATAATTATTGGACCTCGCAAACCAGAGCATTTGGAACCTATACGTGAAGCATTAAATATACGTCTTAATGAAACTGATCGGGTCGACTTACTTAATTTATTTCCAGTATTGTAAACTGATACGTTTGTTTATGTTCATTAATTGTCATTATCGCATAGTTAATATATGAGAGTAATACTAAAAACATTTGTGTGTGTTTTTTCTTTTATACTATCGTATTATTCTGTTTAATATTTTATGAAAATTTCGTTTTCTTTTTCTGTAATATTGCCTGATAATGACATATTATTTTATCATGTTACAATACAGAAAGGTAAAAATAATATACAAATAAAAAAAAAAAATGTGAAAATCACGATAAACATATTCTTAGTTCAACAGTAATTAAAAAAATTGCATTCAAGTATTCGTTGTCCTTCTATTCTGCAATATTGCTCGAATACAATGAATAGTAACATATAGCATAAATTATATTTTGTGCACTAGCATTGTATCTGTTGTATGCATCCATGAGATCATACTAATTGACGAATCTCAAGATAAATAATTGCTCAACAAGTGTTGAAGCCTATTCTTTCTGAAATTAGTACGATTTGAAACCAATTTTGATAGGATTCATTTATAAAAAAAAAAAAAAGAGTTACGAAATAATCTTTACCAGACTCCATCGAAAAATGGATGACTTTCCAGACTGGCATTCAACTTTCTGGCAAATGATCTTTGGAAAAAATCTAAGCGACCAATTTATTTTCACAGAATCGTTCAAAAAGAAAGTCGAGATATGAATCCTGACATCTATTCTACTATATAAACTTAGTGTTCAATGCATATGCGTCAAATAGAATATTTAGTTTTGAGATGCTAAGTTTTCTAAAAAATGTTCAATATTCGAGCAAATACAACATAAGAATGGAAGTTCAATAGTGGCAGATTTCTTATTATGTCGCTCAAATGAATTTTATATATAACATAAATACTATCAGCAAGCATAACAAGAAGTTTTATCATGATATTGATTCAATGCAATGTTTTGAAGAGAGAAAGACAAAGAAAGAGCATTTGTCTTTGCTCGTAATAAATGTTAAGCTTGATATAACGAAAACAAAATCAATAATCTATCGAATAATATCAAACAAAGAGAAAGAAAAAGTCAAGGCATTTTATCTTATAAACCAGTATAAAGGTTAAATATGAACACATCTGTGTTTGTCATCTGTTGGTTTTTTATCCAGGGATTTGCGGTAAGCAAAATGATATCGTTTGGATGCAATTGGTTTTTTTTGTATGACTCAAATATCAAACAGCTTTAATGGCATATTTTTATTATAAGTTTAATGCTTTTTTTCATCAAACATTATCGTTTCATGTATTTTTGCATCGATCATTATGACACTTGAAGAGTTGAATCCTTATTGTTTTAGATTTAGTTTCGTTTAGAATCGATAGCATCAATTATAGAAAATGCAATTATATTTATTATTTGTTTTCACACTTCTGTGGTGTTTATCGATTCAAACTCAGTCAAAGCTAACTATTGATGAATTTTTTAATGCGACTACTTTTCGATCAGTGAGTATGTCTCCGAATGGTCGATATTTATTAATATATAGTCAACGTCCAGCATGGGATTCCAATTCTTTCGAGAACAGTTTATGGCTTTATGAAACTTATGGACGACGAAAACAATTGATTACTAAACAATTGTCCGAAATCATGCAACCAAAATGGTCACCAAGTGGAGATTGGTTCGTATTCTTAATCAATGACAAAGCTGTAGCCGATTCAACAGATCACCTTCATCGTTTTCGACGTTCAGTCGATAATCAGCCGAAAAAAGAGCAACAGATTCATCTCTATAGTGTTTCTTCAGATGAATTGTTATCTATTGAAATTGGTAATCAAATTCCATTGGCTCTGGCATGGTCAGATGTTGACTCGTCGCTTTATTTCGCTGCACAATCATCTCAATCGACAAAAGATGCTGATCATTCGTATGAAACGAAATGGAAAGACGTGATTCAATATCGTCGACGCAAACCCACTGATGATAGTACAATCTATCGTATTGATATAAGCATAAAAAATCGAAGAGTTTCTAGCAAAATTAATTTTGTCAAGCATCTTAATTTCATAGTTGGTGAACTATTGTTTGTGCCATCTGAACATAAACTGGTGTGCACCTCTGTAGTGGCGATTGTTGAAAATTTAAGTGATATCGAAATGTATTCTATTGATTTGTATAAGTCATCATCATTAACAAGACTAACAAACAATGAAGGAATCGAAAATAATCTACGACTATCTAGTGATGGCAAATATGTATTTTTTCAAGTCTTTTCAGTTAGATCAAGTAATGAAAAATTCAATAATACACAAATACGACTATACTCAATCGATCTAACAAATGGACAGATTCAAAATTGGGGAAAAGGTTTCGAAGGAAATGTTAGAGATTATGCCATTAGATCTGAAGGTGGTGTTTTTATATTGGGACAATTGGGAACCAATGTGCATATATACACTCAACAATCACCATCGAAGTATTTATTTATGGAACGTGGTTGGAATGGAACTTATCGAATGATCTCTTCATCAACATCAAAACGATATTCATCAGTTGCTTTTCTTCATTCATCTTTCGAGCAACCAGAAGAAGTTTATTTTGTTGATCATATCGACGATCTTCATTCGGCAAAAGCAATTACTAGTGGAAATCAATTGTTCACAAAACGAGATCTACCAAGAGCTAAATTGTACAAATGGACAAATAATGATGATGATCGTATGATCGAAGGCATTTTACATTATCCACCAGGAAAATTTGAACGTAAAAATTTACCTCTTCTTGTTCTGATTCATGGTGGTCCTACTGCTGCCAATTTAAATATTTTCCTCCCGGACTGGTACAGTTGGGCTCCATTAGCTGCTACAGAAGGGTGGTTAGTACTCGAACCAAACTATCGAGGTTCGACTGGTTATGGCGATCAGTTTCTCAATGAAATTACTTGTCAACCGTTGTCTCTACCGGGAAAAGATATTCTTGCTGGTGTTGATCGTCTTATTAAGGATGGCATTGCTGATCCAACACGACTTACCATTGGAGGTTATAGTTACGGAGGATATCTAACGAATTGGTTGATTACACAAACGACACGTTTCAATGCTGCCCTTTCTGGTGCGGGAGGAGTCGAGCATGTTTCTAGTTGGGGTACTTCAGATTTTCCTACGTATCTAAATACTATATTTGGTGGACTTCCATGGGAAATACCACAAGTTTATTCCAAACAATCAGTTATGGAGAAGTTAGATAAAATACATACACCGACACATATTATCACTGGCGCTAATGATATTCGGGTTCCTGCCGATCAAAGTGTTATGTTAGCGCGTGGTTTAAATTACCTCGGAGTACCAGTCAAGTTGTTACTTTTCCCAAATGAAGGACACTCGTTGAGCAACAATCCTTGGCATGGAAAAATTAAAATTCGAGAAGAACTCAAATGGTTAGAAAAATATGGTCATGTATCTTTGGTTACAACAACAAACTAAGCACATATTCCAATCGAATGAATGAAAGAACCATTTAAGGCAGTTTTTATACCTTACTTCACATTTAAAACCATAGGCATCGCACTTGTAGTATTTAGTTTTGCTTGCTTTTTGCCGAGAATAAATAATACATTATTACAATCCTATTTATGTATTATGTTATTTCTCATTTTCAAACCATATCGATTGACTTCTAACTGTATATTCTTGAACATCAAATACTTAAATTAGGAACAATACAATATGTGTGGACATTCAAAGTTCGACAGTATATAGAATTATTTGTAAGAGATGATAATAAAATCGTTTACTTGAGAGTGGTTCTTCTTTTTAAATTATCCTGTTCTCAATAGACCTATATTCACCTCGAATAATTGACGAAAAAACCTTATTAGCTGCCTTCTTCTGACTTTAATGATGCTTTCGCCTGTAGATACACTATATAGTGTTCTAATAAAACTCTAAAAGGATTTCAGTTCCTATTGATATTTGACTGACGTGAGCTATCCAATATTCAGTTGAAATTTTGTCCATATAGAGAACTCAAATAGATTAGTTTCTATAAAAAAATTCACAAGTTTTAAACGAAGTCGTTTCTCAATATGAAACTTTCAAGGTATAGACCGTTTTTCAGGGATAATGTATACGACATACATTTCTTGAAAGCTCCATAACTCGAAGAAACTTTATTAAAACCTTCTTAATTCTTTGATGGAAGTTATTCTAGTTGAGTTCTTAGAAAACTTAGAGGCTTTAGAAAATAAACTTATTAAAAATTCGATAACTCAGTCAAATCTCAATAGAAACCAAAACCATTTCAATTGTTTCATCAGAACGAAATATAGTATCTATAGGCAAAATCTCATTAGAATCAGAAAGGAGCAGTTGAAGTAGTTTCATCGTGAGCCAACCACATTATTATGATTTTAACGGCTACTATACATGAATTTAGAACGATAGATGAGCGAACTCATATTCGATCCATTTGAGTTTCTCAACACAATTCATCTATCAGACGCTTCTCATTTTTTCAATTTTCGTTTCTGTTTGTTTATTGTCAAATACACAGTAGAAATTTTCAATCAATATCGAAAAACGATTTTAATATCCTCTGTTGACATTATCTTCTACTAATTGTGAATCATACTATTTTTTTACAACATCTATCTATCTATCTATCGGACGATGATGACATTCTACAATCAATAGACTATATTCTTGTTCAAGATTTTATACGATATCATCAATCTATTCGTTTTCAATCACTTTTATTTCATAGTCTTGGTTCTGTGGACATCAACCTAGTTAATTTCACTCTTCTACGGTTCGAATGTTGCTGATTTGAATATAAAAAAGAAGATACTATCTCTTATATAAAAATAATTTTAAATCTAATTGAATTCCTATTTTTCATTTCGATATTGAATTTCAAGACGAAGATATTTTTATGCACCAATAATTATTTCATCATCGTTTGAATCATTGTCTCGTGAATCTGCCCCGGCTCCTCTATTAATTGTCACATAAAATGTAAATGTTAAGTAAGACCATACAAATATTCATAAAAATTAAAATTAAATAAAAAGAAGTCGTCTTTATTTATTTTTTTATTAAATCAAAAATCATTCACAATAATTAATTTTATTTTAATTTTCCAAAAAAAAAAGTTTAGGTTCTCTATTCATGAACATATTGAAATCGTACAGCAAAGATTGGTTGTTTGGCTTTCTTTTTTCTTTCAATTTCTTTTCGTTTTTTTTTCATCTTGACGAAGATCATTTTGTTTTTTTTTCGATGAACTTATATCATAATCAATTGGATCAATATTAAAAAAATATTTTAATGCATCCATAATAAGAACAAAACCAATAACACTTGCAATACATCCAATAGCAACACAAGCAAATGTACATGTATCGACTTCATATTCACAATGATCACCTATTTTACCTGTAGGACATACACATTGACCTCCATGGCATGTGCCACCATTAAGACAACTTAAACCAAGACGACATGAACGTTCATCGACCTCACAATTTACACTAGAAAAACCTAGAACGCAGGAACATTCATAACCAAGTGGCATGCTAACATTTGGATAGCATGTTGCCAAGTTAAAACATGGTTGAGTCATAGCACATTGATCCGAAGTGATATTACATGAAGTAACAATAGCTCCATTAGAACATGTTGGAGATTCAAATACAAAATTATTTCTAGACAGTTGAGACGTTGATCTATATAAAGAATATTTTATTAGTATCAAATTATTAAATTTGTCTAGAAAAATTTTATATTGATTAACCTAAAATACTCACGAGGTTTGTGTTGTTCCTCCTCCTGTTGTTGTTGAACTTGTTTTTCTTCTGGAATAATAGCTGTTGTTGCTGTTTCACAATTCTGTACATTTATGTCTTTGTATTGAATAGGATAGCTCATAAATGAAGTAGGCAGTGGATCTTGTGTTGTATTTCCATAAATTACAATTACTAACTCAATTAGGATATCTGTGTGTAAAAGAATTTCCTTTTGTTTAATTGAAATAATATTTTTCTGATGATTTTTTTTCTTCAATTTTGGAATAATTGAATAGTATTTCAAATGATTAAAAATGATCCTAGTTTTCAGTTTGAAAGTATTGAACAATGTTTTTAAAAGTTTTATATCATATATAATTTAGTATTTTACAATTAGAATAACTGTTTTCTTTTTCACTGTTTTTTGCTTAATAAGCAAAACATGTATGTAATTAAATCCAAATACAACAAGTATCTTTGTATAAAATGCCTAAATCTGATACCTTTATGAAATACGCTCGTATTGAATGTTTATTTCACAAACATTTGAAATATTCTACGCGTGTACATCATTTTCTTTTCTTAATCATATCTTACAGAGGCTTACAAAAGGCTTTTTTTTAGAATTATCAAGTAGAATACTGATAAAATCTTTTGATTCCTACATCAAATTATTCTAGTTTCGATTAAACGAAATACTTCACTCGAATTATTTAAAATAAAAATCGATTTTCTTCAACTATATCTGCTACTTTCAAAACAAAAAAATTTCTTTTTTTTGTACTCTATAGAATGGAGCCTAGTACTCACAGAAAACAGTAGCTGTTACCATCAGAATAATAAAATTGTGAATATAAAATATTTTTCATTTCAGTTTAATATATACTCATATATTCTCGTACATATTCATTAAATTAGTTATATATTTCCGAGATCAAATATCAATAAACAACTCGGTCGAGATGTTTTATTTTACGTTTCCTTAAAATTGATCTTTTTTTTTTTTTATCTTCTGTTCAAAAAAGTAAATTAAAACAATAAAGAAAATATAACTTGCTCTTTTTTTTGTTCTACTTGGAAAAAAAATTGATTTACTCAAAGTAACAGAAACAAATTAAAAAAAAAACATATCACAAGCATAATGTTCTAAATTATCCATTAAAGCATAGCAATATGAAGAATAATGATTATAGTATTTTTCAGCATAAACAATGCATCATTAAACAAGCATAAACGGGTTTCATTTATCTAAATAAACAAAGATATAGCATAATGATTATCAGCTTGCAGTATGCATAGAACAAACAAAAAATTGCAGTAATATAGAAAGGCCAAACAGTTAATCATCATATATATATTTATATAATATCGTATATTAAATTAATTCATTATCAAAGCGATAGATTTCATTCAACTTTGTTCATTCATTTATCTATCAGATATAAATAAATAAAAAAACCAACAATGTAGTAAAAAAAAAGAAAAGTGTTAGAAAACAAAACGAAGGTTTAAAAAAATACAAAGCTTGTCAGTCATGTTTCTGCACATTCAGTTATGAGTTATTTGATATAGAGACAACATGCACAGTTCATCTCACCCTCGTAATACTATAGTTGATTCGAATCTTCCATGAGATCATCATCTACATACATATAATACTTTTGTAGAAATATAAAACAATACTGAGAAGGATTATAGTAATCAAATAAAAAGAAGAAGACGAGAAAAGAAAAGAAAAGAATTAACAACAAAAGAGATTATTGCGTTGAGTATGGGAAACTAAAATATTCGAATAGAATACGCAATTTGATTAATTAAGCTATTACTAAGAAATTACATCAAAAAATACATTCATATTCGAATTAAGATCAATCGATCATAAGAAGAACAACCATACAAATAGATGTATCGGATGATCATCATTAGCAGTTAAAACAACAAAAATCATTCAATTTTAGAAATAATACTACTATCACCGTTCATAAGTACCAATAAATTAAACAATATTGTGCGTACTTTTTCGATTATCTAATGTTGTACTCGATGATCCACTTCCATGTGTTGTTGATGTTGTTGGTGATTTTCGAGCAAATGTTACCCAAGAATAAATAATACTACCAATAACACTAGAAGAAAAATAATAGTTTATCATATGTACATATGTCCATATTATTTTTTTTTTCTTTTCTTTTCTTTTAATGTCTATCTTGAATAAAATCATTCCAAGGTCTTCAACATTTATTCTTTTCAAATACAAGTTCATTTATTACTAAACTATGGCTTCAGAATTATTCAAATGAGAACAATAAAAAATTTATTACTTTCATTATACATAGAAATATTGAACAATAAAAATTTATATTACAAAATTAAACTAATGAAATTTTTTTACCTGATATTAAGACCAATAAAATTCATATGTGAATAAATATAATCACCACCAATAATCATTCCTAAATATGTTACAAACATATTCTAAAAAATAAAACAACAACAAAAAAAAATTATTAAATAGAAACAATAAAAGCAAATATATATATATAAAAAACTAACTTTACAAGCACCAACAACTGTTGTTGTTAAAGGTGAATTATAATTAGTACAAAGCATTGTTGAATAATTAAGTAAAAATCCCATTAATGATGATAGAAGAAAAGCAAATATAAAACCAATATCTCTATAATGATTATAATTCCAAACCTTAAATATATATATATATATATACATATCGATAATCAATTATATATTATTTACTTTATGAAGATCATCACTAAAACCAGCTAAAACAATTGCTGGTCCAAGTACAATAAATGAATTATAGAATAAAAGACCATATTGATTAAATTCCTAAACATAAGAAGAAAAAAAACAACAAAATGTATTTATAAAATATGAACTTTTTTTTTCTTTTACTTTATTAATTAATTTTTGTTTGGTTACAATACCTTGTGCTGCTGTACATAGATTATTCATTATAAGAAAAACATATCCAAACCAGTTAAAAGTTAAATCATCACTAGCAGCAATCATAGCACCAACTAACATCAAATAAACACTTGCTTGTGCGGTTACAGATTGCGTTTGTCTAATGAAAAGAAAAAAAAATATATAAATACATACATAAATAAATATATATATGTATATACCGAAGTATTATTTGTTCACCAATCATTGTTAACCATATTGAAAAACGACGTAAAACAGTAAACATTGGTAAACTAGTTATTAATAATAAGAAAAGAAAATTTATCAAAATTATAAAAAAAAAGAAAAATAAATCACCTAACAGCTTGGGTACCAGCAAGACCAAAAAGTAAATTACCAAAAAATAACAATGGCAATGGCATAATCTATTTTATATACAAGGGACAAAAAAAAAAAACAAATTTTATTATTCAAAAAAAGAAATGAATTACGAACTTTATTAACAACATTTTCAGAGAAATGAGGGAAACGTATAACACCAATGAATCGTGCTACATATAGTACAATAATCGAAACAGTTAACTATGCAAAAAATAAAAATAAACAAAAAAGAATAATTCATCAATTAATTGTTTTTTTTAGTAGAATAGTTATGTGTTAGAAATATGTTTAATAGAAGTAGACACTCGGCATGCGTATAGAAAACTAGGATTATCCTTTATTCATAACGATTACCTACCTGTCCAATAGCAAGCAGTTGAAATGAGGGAAACCTGTTGTGTAATAGGGGGACGAGAAACTGCTAAGATAACAACGTCAAAAAAAAAACAAAAAAAGTACGTACTCATAAGATGTAAGAACAAGTTTGTTAACAATAGTAATTAAACCTGAACAAGCACCATAAAATAAAGCCGAGCCTAATCGTCGAACAAATGAAATCGTTGGTGGACAAGGACAATCGCAACATGTTGCGCATGTCATCGTTAATCCAGATGGAAAAATAATTAAATGCCCTACTGATAATAATGGACCAGATGTGACTATTAATAGTTGTCAAAAGAATGGCATTTATTGGATTATGCCATATGACGTATCATGAAGCGATAGGATTGAGACATCTATTGGAAAGATGTATATTTTTTTTTAAAAAAATAAAAGAAAAGCAAAAAATTTCATATATAATATAATAATTATTTATTATATTAGAAAAATTTTCAAATATAAAGGAAATTACAGAATAAATAAGCGATTCATTTTCTAATTCAAAATGAAAAAAAAAAATGTTTATTAAATAGACATTCAAGTGCCGATAAATTTTATTCATATAACAACGATCAAGTCAGTATTTGAAACCAGGCATAATAAGTAAAACATAAAATCATGTATTAAAACAATTCTTAATCTAGTAAAAATGTATAAAATTATTCAATAAAAATCTAACACTTTCAATACATGATAAACTGTAATTTGAAATATTTTTGTACATCTATCAAACATAGTTGATCGAATGAAAATTTTGATTAGTCATTAAAGTTTAAAGTAATGTAATCATTGCTTGCTTATATTACTTTTAACTTTCATTTCATAACATTTTCTGATTGTATCTTTAAACACAAACTAATTTCAATATGTTGTTCATGTAGAATTCTTTACTTTTCAATATAAATTGTAAACACGATCTATATTCAGACCGATGCTGTACATCTGATGGAATACTCGTTAAAATTGACGCAAGACTAAATTTTTTAAACATCTACTGTAGAAAAGATTTCAGTCTAAAAAAATACCTTACTGATATTTATCCTTGTACTCTCATAGAAAAATTTCATGCTGACATAATAATATGGTTTTTTTTTATTCGTCAGATTTTGTTTTTACATTTATCATTCGATCTGAATAAATGAAAATGTCATTTGAAAATATATTTGTGATTGACTATTTTTTTTTCTCGATTTTATATTTTGTGAAAATTTTGTTGTTGAATTAATATCATCTCATTTGATAGTAACATATATTTGAAATTGTTTTTTCATAATTGAAATATTTCAAAAGTAATGTTTTAGATTTTCAAAATAAATAATCAAATGATATTCTCTCGTCTCTTCTTTTCTAGTAATACAAAAAAAAACACATCTATATATTATTTGTTTGTTTAAATTGAATATTTTTTTGTTATGGTGATAAATTTTAATCATAGATAGAAATCCAAAAAAGTCAATACGTATGTCAACTCAATTTTAGAAATATTCTAAAAAAACATAGTTTGGAAGAAAAAAAAAACAAGACTGATTATTGTATGAGATGTTTTTTTTTTTTTTGTCGAAAACTGAGATGCATTTGCACTCTACTTTCATACTTAGATACGACTTAACTTTATTTATGATTAAACTACAAAATATTATATTCTCATAAATTTATTTCTTGATATTAGTGTATCGGAAGTATTAATTTTGAAAAAAATAGTAAAATTTTTACCTTCATGATGAACTAAATAATAAAACAAAATCAAAACCTACATTAGATATATTATTAATCATTATCATCAACTGCATCAATCTTGACATTGCAAAAAAAAAATCAAACTAGTACTAGAGAGCAATTACTAACTCAGATAATTATTTATGAAGAAAAATATAGACTCTCTTTATATAAAATCGTAGGTGTTTATATCAGATTCTAATCAAAAAAAAAAATAAATGTCTATGTACTTTTCGTACATTTTTAAAGTAAAATTTACAAGTATTCATCAAATGTACTTGGTGCTTATACTTGAATTTCAAGACGAATACTTTACTATTTATATATTTTACTTGAAATATAGATAAAATATATAATCAACAAAACTAAGTCAAGAGAAAAGAGTAAACAACATACTTTAACGAAAATATGAAACACAATAAAAAAACAGTCCAAAGGAGAAAAATAACAAGATTGCCTTGACAAAAAGAATAACGCAATAAGTACATTTGACACTGGTATATATATACATAAGATACAAAACAAAGAACGATTAAATATATTTATAATACTTAACATAATTTTCTTTTACTGCACAAATTTTTTAACAAGAATTCTAATAATTTGAATTGCAAAACAAAAAAAAAAAATAGTGTATACTATTCATAGAATATCTTTTAAAAGCTGATAGCTATCGATAGAATTGTAATTATTATTAATTTGAAGTATTCAGATTGAATTTTTTTCATATAGCAATGATACGCCGTCTTTTTCTATCATTTTTTGCTGTTAAAATATATTATTTACATTTACCATGACCAAAAATAACTATTAATTGATCATAATTAAAAGCTTGTTACATCATGGATGGCCTAGAAGTCATGACTCGTTTTCTATAATAAATATTCTCATTGAACTGTCCTTATACGAAAAAAAAAAAAACGTTCAGTAATATATTTTCTTCAAAATCATTAATTTCACTAATTTATTTAATAAGAAAATTATTAATCTAAATATGTTACTAAAAGTTAATTAATCATTAATATTTTTATCATATATTTATGTAATTATGATTGAAATTGATCAATAATTTATATTTTAAAATTATTTTATGATTAATTGAAATAAATATAACCCATGATTTAGGATTGATATTATTTTTAAAAGCAAAAAAAAATTCTATTAAGAAAATAATAAACATTGTTAATGTAATTATATTCTAATAAAAATTCTCTTCTTTTATCATTGATAATAATTATGAAGATTGAAAATAAAACGAGTATTAAAAAAGAAAATTAAGGCAAAAAATTTAATATATTTAAAGAAGATCAAAAACTTAAATCTATTAGAATTTTAATTATGCACATAGAATTTTTTTTGTCTTCTAAAAGATAGTTTTGATCTACGTCATCTATTCTATTCATCATAAAATAGTTTTGCATTGTAGATTGATCAGTGTACGTCATAGTTTGATGTGTATATCATTTTTAATGATTAAAATATTAATGGTTAATCTGCTTTTAAATATGATCGACATTTCTTGACTAATAGCTTACAAAATGAGCTCGAAGGATTAATTTATAGTCATTTTCAAGAACACATTTTTATAATATTTTTTCTCTAGAAAGACATAAAATTCATTATGTAAAATGCGTTACAACTTGAGGAACATCCTTAAAGAAAAAAAAAATAATAAATTTTTCATTCTTAATGTCAAATACATTTTCTATAAATAAAAACGATGTTAATTAATTCTACATAGAAAAATTAATATATCTTCGATGAACAACATTTATTTGATACGTTAAAATAGTATATCTAAAAAGAAAATATCTATATTTATCATTATAATTATTTACTTAAGAGACAGAAACGAATAAACTTGAACTTCTTTTTTTGTTTTTTTAATAATTTTAATTGTAAATTAACTAGTTCAAGGACTAAAAGTACGTGTGAAAACTTACTTGAACATGAAAAACCAATAATACGGTTTTATATCGATTTTAGTTATATTTCTTTATCTATACAATAAAGAAAATCCTTCATGCATCAAATGTTTGTACAATCGTCTATGATTAATATGCAAACTAATCATCCGTAGGTGTAAAACTGAATAAATACTATAACAAAAAAAACAAAATTTTATTGTATGTGCGACCTCTGTCTCTTTCTAAGATGGTTATTCTATTTTTTTTTCTCGTCTTTAAATGATTAAGTGGAGTGAATGAAAGTGACTATAATGATTCATTCGTTTTTTTTGCCTCTTTCCTTTCTTTTCTTTGTTTGTTTCTTATTTCTCATCGGCATCATTTTTTTTGTTTCATTCTATCTTGTCTTGATATTAATTCTATATGGTTTTTACTTTCTAGATGCTATGATGAAACTAATAGTCTATTTTAAATTATTTAAGAAAATCTAAATAGAGAAAACACACATACACATATATCTCTTTTTTAAAAATGCAAGCACTCAAATGTGTAGTAGTCGGCGATGGGTAAATAATTTCTATTAGATTTAATAAATCGATAAAAAGTTTATTTTTTTTAGTGCCGTTGGTAAAACTTGTTTATTAATATCTTATACAACGAATACATTTCCTGGTGAATATATACCAACGGTTTTCGATAATTATTCAGCAAATGTTATGGTCGATGGAAAACCAATTAATCTTGGTTTGTGGGATACAGTAAGTTTTCTTTTAAATAGAATTTCTAATTGAATTATAATTTGTTTGTAGGCTGGTCAAGAAGGTATGAAGAATGAATATGTTTTTTTTTTTATTATTAGACTTTAATTCTTTTTTTTGGTTTTAAGATTATGATCGTCTCCGTCCATTGTCTTATCCACAAACGGTAAAAGAATTTGCAAAAAAAAAAAACATTTTTTTTTTACACCTTTTGTTTTTTTTTTTTTTTTTTTAAGGATGTTTTTCTTATTTGTTTTTCTCTTGTTAGTCCAGCTTCATTTGAGAATGTTCGAGCTAAAGTAAAAATATTTGAATTTTCTATATTTATTTTTATATTTTATTTAATTAATTAAGTGGTATCCTGAAGTTAGTCATCATTGTCCTCAAACACCAATTGTTCTAGTCGGTACAAAACTTGATTTACGTGATGATAAAATTGCAATTGAAAAACTTCGAGTAAATTAATATATGAAAATATATTTCTATTTTATCTTTTATATATATATATATATTTTAGGAAAAAAAATTAGCACCAATAACAACTCTTCAAGGTGAAGCTATGCGTAAAGAAATTGGTGCTGTTAAATATTTAGAATGTTCTGCTTTAACACAAAAAGGTCTCAAGACAGTATTTGATGAAGCAATACGTGCTCATCTATGTCCAAAACCAAAACCTAAAAAAAAAGGATGTATCCTTCTCTGAAGATATGAATCGATCTGTTTTTCTTTTTGTTCTCATTTTTGCATGATATTTCATTTTGTTCATGTTTCTCTTCGTTTGTAAGATATATATATATATATAAATATACATACATTTATCTGTTGTTTAAAGCGAAAA